TACCAGCTGTAAAAAGAGACCTTTTTCCCCGAAGTTTACAAGCAAAGTTTATTAGAGAAGGAAAAGAGGGAAAAGATCGAGAGACATGCCAGAGATGGCATGGGTGAGAGAAACTGCCAAAAATAGACTTTAAAAAGGAACGGGTGTTATCTCTATATAGAGCTATGGAGTGAGATCTAAGATATTTTGAGAAGTTAAAAAAAAAAAACAACTGGCAGCATTTCCCCCGAAAACTGGAACAAGACAAGGCTACCCACTCTTTCCCCTCTTGTTCAACATTGTGTTGGAAGTCCTAGCTAGTGCAATTAGACAAGAGAGGGAAATCAGGGGTATCCAAATAGGAAAAGAGGAAATCAAGTTATCCCTCTTTGCTGATGATATGATCATATACCTTGAAAATCCAAGAGAATCTGTCACAAACCTGCTTGCACTGTCTCAGTGCAAAGTCTCAGGGTACAAAATAAATGTGCAAAAGACAGTTGCATTTCTATACACCAACAACAAGCTGGCAGAGACCCCAAATTAAAAGCACAATCCCATTCACAATAGCCACACGCAAAAAAAGGAATACCTCGGCATTTTCCTAACCAGAGAAGTAAAAGAATTTTACAATGAGAACTACAAAACACTGCTCAAAGAAATACAAGACACAAACAAACGCAAAAATATACCATGCTCATGGACATCAACATTAAAATGTCCATCCTACCAAAGGCTATACCCATTTAAGTTATCAACATCATTCTTCTCAGACCTGGAAATGACAATACAGAAACTCATATGGAAACATAAATGACCACAAATAGCCAAAACAATTCTTAGCAAAAGAAACAAAGCAGGAGGTATCATACTTCCAGACTTCAAACTTTACTATAAGGCTACAGTAATTAAAACAGCCTGGTTTGGACAAGAACAGGCATATAGGCCAATGGAACATGATAGAGATTCTGGAAGCAAAGCCTCAATTTCTCGACCAACTCATCATTGACAAAGCTTCCAACAACAACCACTGGGGAGAGGAGAACCTATTCAGTATATGGTGCTGGGAAAACTGGCTGATCACATGCAAAAGACTGAAACAGGACCACTACCTATTACCATACACAAAAATTAACTCTAAATGGATCAAAGACCTAAATATAAAGCCTTAAAACATAAGAATCTTAGAAAACGCAGGAGACACCTCTTATGGAAATTGGAACTGGCCACTAATTCCTGATTAGAATCCTAAGTGCCAATGCCATAAGAAATAAGATAGACAAGTGGAACCTCATCAAATTGACGAGTTTCTTCAAAGCAAAAGAACCCATCAAAAGAGCAGGGAGACACCCCACAGAATGGGAAAAATATATGCCAACTGTATATCTGACAAGGCCTAACATCTAGGATCTACAAGGAACTCAAACATGCCAAAAGGAAAAAACCAAACAGCCCCATTAAAAAGTAGGCAAAAGACACGAATAGACACTTCTCAAAAGAAGATATATGGGTGGCCAACAGACACATGAAAAAGTGCTCAGCCTCACTCAGCATCAGAGAAATGCAAATCAAAACCACATGAGATACCACCTGTAAGAATGGCCATCATTAATAAAACAAACAACAGATGCTGATGAGAATGTGGAGAAAAAGGAACGCTCCTACACTGCTGGTGGCAATGTAAACTAGTACATCCTCTTTGGAAGACAGTGTGGCGATTTCTGAAAGAACTAGAAATTGACCTTCCATATGACCCAGCAATTCCCCTATTGGGAATATACCCGGAGGAACTCAAATCATTCTACAAAAAAGATATCTGCACACGTATGTTTGTTGCAGCTCTATTCACAGTAGCAAAAACTTGGAACCAATCATGCTGCCCACTGAAGTTGGACTGGATTAAGAAAATGTGATACATACACACAATGGAATATTATGCAGCCATAAAGGACAAACGTATGGACTTTGCAGCAACTTGGATGGATTTAGAGTCGATCATACTCAGTGATCTATCACAGAAACAAAGAAAAGAGTACCATATATTCTCACTCACAAGTGGACCTTGAACAATTATCATAATACTGTAAGAAAGGGATTGGCAGAAGTGGAAAACTGTCAGGGGAAGGGGGGTGGGATTGGCAGTTGAGGGAAACTGCTAGGGCAGGGAGGGGCATACCTCTTTAAAAAGGGTGCTGCATAATCAACATTTGTGTACCTAACCCAGAACTGTACCCCACATCTTTAAATTTTTTTTAAGTGTACCTTTTCTCTTATAAAGGCGGCAGCATATGAATATATATGCATGCATTTACTTACACTTTGAAAAATTAGCCGGGCTTGGTGGCTCAGTCTGTAATCCTGTGCCTTTGGGAGGCTGAGGTGAGTGGATTGCCTGAGCCTGCGGGTTCGAGACCCACCTGGGCAAGTGAGACCTCATCTCTACAATAAATCAAAAAATCAGCCGGGCGTGGTAGCGCATGCCTGTAATTCCGGCTACTTGGAAGGCTGAGGCGGAAGGATTACCGGAGCCCAGCTGGTCGAGGCTGCTGTGGCCAGGAGCGGCCACTGCACTCCAGTCTGGGCGACAGAGTGAGACTCCCACTCAAAAAAAAAAGAAAAAAAGAAAAATTAGAAGGGTAAACTAAGAACAATTAATAGGGTTTCCAATCAGGAAAGGAGAGAAGAGTGTGGAGGAGACAGGAATGGAAGACGTCTCTGTAACTAGACCCTGTTCTGTAGCCTTGACTTTGGAACCATGTGAATGCTTACAAATTTATGAAGCAAAGTTAAAACAAAATTTAAAAACCAATATCTAAAAACAGAAACAAGAAAGAAACAATTAAATGTAACTAGGCTGAGTTAAAGTACCCAGAGACAGTTCTTCAAGTGGATTTAAAACCTGATATTTTGAGTGTCCTTGTATCTTAGGGATAAAAAAAACTGCAAAGAAGTCATAAATAGTTTTTTATAATTAGATTCTTGGTAATAACACTGATATTATTTTTAAAAAGGGAGATGAAATAAACAAGTTTCGATTTTTAAGTTAAAGTTAATAAAAGGAAACAACATTTTTAAAAATATAGCTTGTGAAATGGGGCAATTTCTATTAAGTGACTGGAAAGAGAAAAGCCAGAGCAGGTGCTGTCAGGGTCCCCAACCTTGTATGCATATTTTCCCTGTTTAGAAGCCCCTCTGTCCATCACTCCAATACACATACACAGGCACACACAGACAGGGTTTTGTCTGAACACAGATGATCTGGAATGCTGGGAGATGAGTAGCAGCCGAAGTAGAGACAGGAGAGCACACTGAGGCCATCCCAGCCTACACTTCCTCTTGTCTTGAGGCAAGATGTGAAGATCCACCTGGCCACACAGGCCACTGCGGGACTCTTCCTGATTGCTAAGCTGACTTGTCTTCCGGGTCTCCCCTGGGCAGTAAGGGGCCAGCCAGAGGACAGCAGAGAACCCTGCTGAGATTCCAGCATCACGTACGATGAGGGTCTCTGGGTCATGGGTGCAGCCCTTCTCTGAAAAAGCCACATTCCTCTTACTAAGCCATAAATAATGACATATGCATGTCCCTTTTATAAACTACTTCTTGCAGAAATCGACTCCTGTATGTGTGCAATATAAAAAGTCATGATGTGTGTCCACAAAAACGTAAGCCATCAAACTAGCAGACTGACTATTTGGGGGGCTTTTTCAGTACTACTCATTTCTAACTTGGTTCATTGGTTTTGTGGTGTCTTTCAATTTCACGAAACTCCAGCAGTAGTAGACGCAAAAAGTCCTATGTATATTGATGGGAGGAAAATGAACATAATCTGCAAATTTCCTTGTGCCACCTTGAAAAAAATATATGATTATTCTTTCTTAGCTGAAGACTAGGGCAGGTTTGTTCTTGGGTCTTGAGTGTTACCCAAAAGCCCAGTCTGAAACCTGTGAAACTGAGACACACAGATGAAAGCAGATCAAGCAATAGCAAAGCCTGAGACAGAAGGAGAAGGCAGACCCAGCCGCTGTGCTCAACCCAGCTGAGGGTGGACACGGGAGAAGGCAGACCCTGCCACTGTGCCCAACTCCAGTAGGGGTGAGAGGCCTGCGGGCTGCATGGTGGCAAGGTAATGGGAAGATGAAGGAGAGAAAGAAGTAGGATGGAGAATGAGAGTCTAGGCGCTCATGCTCACAGTGATATGCAGTAATATCCAGCTGCATGGTAGGAACGGGGGCTTTGCATGCACTGCCTCATATTCTCTTCCCAGTCACCTGACTAAACCGTGTACAAGTGAGGAAATGGGATTCATCACTAGCCCACGCTCACTCAGCAAGCAACGGCAGAAGCCCAGGACTCAGAGCCAGGGCTGTTGTACTCCAAGGCCAATACTGTCTTTCTTTGTTAAAGAAGAAGATAAACTTCAAATGCAGACTACCAGACATGTAAAAGGTGAGTATCTGGGCTGACACTGCAACTGCGCCTCTTGCAACTGCGCCTCTCCAGACTCCCACTCTGCTGCCTATCTAGCTGGGTGTGGGTGTGTGTGTGTGTGTGTGTGTGTGTGTGTGTGTGTGTTTTGGAGTCTCACTCTGTCACCCAGGGTGTGTGTGTGTGTGTGTGTGTGTGTGTGTGTGTTTTGGAGTCTCACTCTGTCACCCAGGCTGAAGTGCAGTGGCACCATCACGGTTCACCAGAGCCTCGACCTCCTAGGTTCAAGCAATCCTCCCACCTCGGCCTTCCCAATAGCTGGGGCTACAGTCATGCACAACCACATGCAGCTAATTTTTAAAATATTTTGTAGACATGAGGTCTCACTATGTTGCCCAGGCTGGTCTTGAACTCCTGGTCCCCACAGCTCCTCCCACCTCAGCCTCTCAAAGTGCTGGAATTACAGTTGTGAGCCACTGCACCCAGTCCCAGCTGGCTCTTGAAACGCCACAGCATCGGTTGGCTGTTGATTTTACATTGCCCCAGAACATAATACCAACTCTTGGATGTCATTCAGTTCATCTTAACTTCTATACCTTGAAAACCATTTTCATCCTTCGCGGGCTTGGGAACAAGGTAAAACGGCTGCCGCCTTAGTTGGTCCCTCACTTTTACTCCAAGCCAGTCGCTGATGGGAAGGCCTTTCTGGGTGCTAGCAGGCCAGCTACTTTTTGCTTCCAAAGCCAGGACTATATCCACAGATATTTTGTCAGGTTTCTCAATAAGAAGCGTTACAGCAGGGCTTCCTCTTTTCTTCTTCTCCACAACAATGTCTATATCTGCTTAAACACACAAAAGGGAAGAAAGAGCTTAGCGATCCAATGTTCTCTGAGAATATGGGGGAGATGATATCGCTGTAACCAGGGACTCCTGAAGTCCTAAGTGGAAGGTGAACGGCAGCTCCAAGATAAAAATGGGCTCCACGAGGCAAAGGGATTTGTCGGTTACCTGTTCATACCTACTGCAGGGAGGAATTGTTAAGGCTCTGTGTGGCACGTGATGAAGGCCTAGAACACCCCATGGCTTGGGATTTGACTTTCGCCAGAAACCATGGGTAGCAGCTTGAGAGGAGGCCCAGAGAAGAGGCCAGACAAGCGGCAGGGAAGATTCCAGCCACAGCCTGGCTATAGGCTGGGTGCCAGGCAGCCCAGAGGCAGTGAGCCTCCAGACAGGGGCCAGAAGTAAGGGCGATTCAAGGGGCTCAAGTCAACAGCACCACGAGCCACGTGACTCTGTGGGGTGAGCAGGAGAGGGGGAGCCTGTGAGGCCATCCCAGAACAGGGCTGGGACACAACTGATGTCACCTCTATTCTCAAGCTAAAACAGGGGGAAGACTGAACTCGGTTAGACAAACGAGCTCTAGGAGCCTGTGGAAGACGGGCACTGGGCAGGAGCCTATGGTGAGAAATTCGAGGGGTGGCTGGGCATAGTGGCCATACCTATAAACCCAGCACTTTGGGAGGCCGAGGCGGGTGGATCGCTTGAGCCCAAGAGTTCAAGACCAGCCTGGGCAACATAGTGAGACCTCGCCTCTACCAAAAAAGAAAAAAATTTTTTTGTTGTTTTTTGTTTGTTTGTTTGTTTGTTTGTTTTTGAGTTGGAGTCTCACTCTGTCACCCAGACTGGAGTGCAGTGGACGCTCCCAGCCACCACAGCCTCGACCTGCTGGGCTCCAGTGATCCTTCCGCCTCAACCTTCCAAGTAGCCGGAATTACAGGCATGCACTACCATGCCAGGCTGATTTTTTGATTTATTGTAGAGATGAGGTCTTGCTGCCCAGGCGGGTCTCAAACCCGCAGGCTCAGGCAATCCACTCACCTCAGCCTCCCAAAGGCGCGGGATTACAGGCTGAGCTACCGAGCCCGGCTAAAAAAGAAAAAATTAAGCTGGTTCCTGGTGGTGCACCTGTAGTCCCCACTACTCAGGTGGCTGAGGTAGGAGGATCACCTGAGCCCAGGAGGTGGAAGCTGCGGTGAGCCATGACTGTTCCACTGCACACCAGCGTGAGTGACACAGTGAGACCCCAACTAAAATTTAAAAATTCAGGGGGCTTTGGGAGCTGGGGATATAGGAACAGTAAAGAGTATGCCCCAACAAGATTTCTGGCAGGAACCACAGGAAGGAAGTAGAGCACCGAGGAGAGATTGCTAGAACAATCTGCAAACCTGCCCACCTCTCATCCTCTGCATCCTTGTTACCAACAAGAAAGTGTCCTTCCTCCTTGGAGGCCCACTCTGCACGGGGTCTCTGGAGCCCTCCCTTCTCAACCTCTCCAGCACCTTGCTCTTCAAGGACTCCGCTCCTGCCTCAACCCCTTCTCCCTCCCTACCAAACCACCTTTCAATGCATACAAAGGGCCACAGTGTCTCCCTCGCTAAATACACCTCCCCCTGGCCTTGCATCCCCTCCTTCCAGCTATCAGTCTTGTGGCCTTCTTCCCAGTCAACGCTTTCTTGGGTTGCCTTTGCATGCTGTTTCTGCTGCAGGCCTGCCCGTTCACTCTTGTGCCCATCACCCACCCACAACCCCACCGAAGCCCAAACCCAAGGTCTTCTGTTGTGGCAGCATTCCAAGCGCTGGCCCCTCCCGTGAGCACTCACATTTTTCTGCTCCTTCTCTCCCCCCAGCCTTCAACTGGTTCCTCTTCTTACCACACTCTGTAACACCGCATCTCCCCAAACCTGTCCCAGCACTCCTGCAGCCTCTCACTTTGCTATGCTTCTTCACCACAGGACTCACCGCTTTCCAGTATGCAGGATCATTCTTTTTCCCATGTCTCATTAATTGTCTGTGCTCGCAAGATTATAAGGTATCATAGGGTAGAGGCCTTCATCTATTTGCTCACTACGTATTCTAAACATCTAGGACACCTGCGTGCACGATCATCAATGAATATGGATACAACTAATGAATAAACAATGGCAAGCTCTCTATATAGGTGGCCTCATCCACTCCTGATGCCACCTACAGGTTGATGGATCCGAAAGGTGTCCTCTGCACTCAAAGTCCATGCCCTGTTACACACCTGACACACCTACCTCCTCGCATCACATGGATCTTCCAACCTCATATTATCCAAAGCCAAGAATCATAACTAAGTTCATACTACAGAACACGTTTCTCCTCAGCCCTTTCCATCTCAGAGAATGGCAAAATCAGGCCTTCTGAATGCTCTATCCAGAAGCAGGGGAGTCATCTTACCCAAGCCTCCCTCTCACCCCACGCTTAATCTAGAGGCAAGCACTATGCAGTGTGGACCCTGCTTCTCTCCATCCCAGCACCCCACTCCTACCCCACCTGAGTTGCTACCACTTTTCACCTAAACTATTACAACATTTTCCTTTCTTTTTTTCATGAAAAGACATGATATGATATTTTTCTAATCTCCCTATTTAACTTTATATCTTCTCAGTTGGGCATGGTGGCTCACACCTATAATCCCAGTCTTTTGGGAAGCCATAGCAGGAGGATTGCTTGAGGCCAGTAGTTCGAGACCAGCCTGGACACCATCTCTACAAAAAATCTTTTTAAATTAGCCAGGTGTGTAGTCCCATCTACTTGGGAGACTGAGGTGGAAGGATCACTTGAGTCCAGGAGTTCGAGGCTGCAGTGAGCTCTGATCACGCCACTGCACTCCAGCCTGGACAACAGAGCAAGACACTGTCTCTAAGGGAAAAAAAATCTTATCTATAGAGGTCAGAGTAAACTTTTAAAAATACAAAGCCAATCAGTCCCTAGTTAAAACCTGGAACAAGGAATAAATCTCAACTCCTTTCCAGGGTCTACAAGTCCTCAGAGATTCTGGCCCCTGGATACCTCTTGTACTTAATTTCATGTCACTCTTCTCCTGTCTGCAGGGGCGCATCTTTTTGTTCCTTGAGTTTGCCAAGCTCTTCTCTGCTCAGGGACTGATTCCCTGCCCCCACCCTAATTGCTACCACTTCTTCCAGTTCACTCCTTTCAGAGCACTCACTGCAATCTGCTACCTATGCTCTCTCTCTAATATAATAGGGAGGGAATCTGCAACTTTGTATCCAGGAACGCAGAGCCCAGCAGTAGGGCAGCACACTAAACCAGAGCTCTAGAAGGAGGCAGCAGTCAGCAGAAAGTCAAGAAAGATCACAGGAGGAGTGTACATTGGCAATCAGTAGTATAATTAGACCTTTAAGAATCAAAAGTTGAAATTCTAGTCCCAGCTACTGGGGAGGATGAGGTAGGAGGATAACTTGAGCCCAGGAGTTTAAGGCTGCAGTGAGTTATGGTCATACCACTGCACACCAGCCAGGGTAGTACAGCAAAACCAAAACAAAAATCTTACCTTTGATGTTTTTAATTTCTTCCATAATGATTTTCCTAAATTTCAACAGCATCTTGGAAGCCGATAATATTTCATCTTCTAAAAATTGAGTCAGAGGATTTCCTCTTGGATTTCTTTTGAACTTCACCAAGTAATGTGCACCACTCTCACAATATTCTTCTAGCTGAATTCTGGGAACTTCCAGTTTAAACATTACATCAAATTCATTAGGTGCAGAAATCTAAGAAACAGTAAAAATAGCACTGAATGTTTGCTTGTGAATATTTTTCAAGTAATTGTCATTTTTTTCTGAAAATTTCCACTGAAAACCCTGCTTTAAAAAGCAAGATTTCAGCCGGGCTCGGTGGCTCAGCCTGTAATCCCGCGCCTTTGGGAGGCTGAGGTGAGTGAATTGCCTGAGCCCGCGGGTTCGAGACCCGCCTGGGCAGTGAGACCTCATCTCTACAATAAATCAAAAAATCAGCTGGGTGTGGTGGCGCATGCCTGTAATTCCGGCTACTAGGAAGGCTGAGGCGGAAGGATTGCTGGAGCCCAGCAGGCCGAGGCTGCGGTGGCCGGGAGCGGCCACTGCACTCCAGTCTGGACGACAGAGTGAGACTCCAACTCAAAAAAAAAAAAAAAAGCAAGATTTCTAATATACGTATATACGTACCCTCTGGAATGGGATCAGTGAGGAGTGATGGACAGAGTACCACTAGGCTTAGCTTGTAGGTTCTACACTCATTTTTTTTTTTTTTTTTTTTTTTTTACCATGAGCAAGCATTGTTTTTATAATTAAAAATAAGTTTAGGGTAACCCCTTAGGATCCCCTTCCACTGCGGGAGCTTTTCTGTCCTCTTAATAAATCCTGCTTTTAAAAAAACGTTTAAATGATATAAAGCAGGCTTTTAAAATCTATACCCGTACCCATTTTCTTCTGAGTTTAAAGTTTAACAACATTAAAAACCTTTGGAGTATTACGCTTTATGTCACAAGATGCACACTGCAAACACCTTCCTGTCACAATGTTCTTAGAAATGGTCTCAACTACGTAGCCAGTTGAGTAAGGGCTAGCTCTTCACGGCTGCCAATCGCCCAAGAGAACTTGAGTTCCAAATCCCATACTGCATCCATGTCTCTGAACCACAGCATTTGGAAGAGCTTCAAAGAAACTTCTTTTTCAACCTCACGGTAACAATAATTATAGGAATTTATAATAAATATTTATTTGTTCTATATTAAAAATACCACAAGTCTTTCGGGTGTTAGAAGCATGATTGTGGTTCACCTACTGGACTGCATGGCCCAGTACAGTATGGAGTAGCCACAGATGTCTGCTAACCACATGAAATGTGGCTAGTCCAAACCGAGATATGCTGTTGAACTGTATCTTCTCCCAAGTTCACACATGAAAGCCCTAACCTTCAGTATGATGTATTCGGAGACAGGGATTTTAGGAGGTAATCAAGGTCAAATAAGAGCGTAAGGGTGGGCCCCTGATCTGACATGCCACATAAGTACACAGTGAGGTGCCTTCGACAACCCAGAAAAACAGACCTTATCAGAACTCAACCATGCTGGCACCCTGATCTATGACACCCAGAATCCTGAACTAGGAGAAAATAAATTTCTGTTGTTTAGGCCACCCAGTCTATGTAGTACTGTTAAGGCACCGTGAGGGTGAAACAAACACTTGGAAGGACAGCAGCAGAAATGGCAAAGTAAGAGCCTTCCAAAATCTGCTCTTCCATAAACATAAGATGCACAGGCAGATACAGTCAAGTTCAACTCTCCCAGATCCCTGTAAATAACTAAAGGCTAATAATAATCCCAGAAGGATTTATTCAAGAAAAGCAGCCGAAACCCAGTGGGAACAGTGAGCTCTGTGGCATCAAAATCGCCCTCTTCCCATCCCCAGTCCCATGTGGGCTTCCCTCTTTCCCACGTGCTTCAGTGAGTGTCCACCATAGCCATCACTCTGACTTCTAACACGACAGTAGGTTTGACTGCTTGGGAACATCACACAACCAGAATCACAGAATATGTACTCTTGTATGTCTGAGGTTCATCCATATTGCTTGTGTGTCCTGGTAGTTTGTTCTTTTTAATTGTGGGCAGCATTCCATTGAGTTAATGGAATACAGCAAAATATATTTACTATTTCTGTTGATAAATGAGACCCTTACAGTTTTTAACTATTACTAATAATGCTGTTTTCAACATTCTTGTACATGCCTTTCCATGGTTATGAGCACCTACTCCTCTTGTAGGTATACACAGGAGTGGAACTGCCGGACAACAGGGCAGGCATATCTTTAGGTTTAGAATAAATTGTCGGCCAAGCATGGCGGCTCACACCTATAATCCCAGCAATTTGGGAGGCCAAGGCAGGGGAACTGCTTGAGCCCAGGGGTTTGAGACCAGCCTAGGCAACATAGTGAGAACTCCATTTAAAAAATATTACCCAGGATTGTGGTGTGCACCTGTAGTCCCAGCCACTTGGGAAACTGAGGCAGAAGGATCACTTGAACCCAAGAGATCGAAACTGCAGTGAGCCATGATCATGCCACTGCACTCCAGCCTGAGAGACAGAGTGAGACCCCTAACTAAAAAAAAGAAAAAGAAAGAAAGAAAAGTGTCAATTTTCTAAAGAGCTAGTACCAATGTATCCTCCCATTATCAGTGTAAGAGAGTTTCAGTTGTTCCGTGTTGTCTCTAGCATTTGAAATTGTCAAGTAGAGCCGGGCTAGGTGGCTCAGCCTGTAATCCCACGCCTTTGGGAGGCTGAGGTGAGTGGATTGCCTGAGCCTGCGGGTTCGAGACCTGCCTGGGCAGCAAGACCTCATCTCTACAATAAACCAAAAAATCAGCCGGGCATGGTAGCGCATGCCTGTAATTCCAGTTACCTGGAAGGCTGAGGCGGAAGGATCGCCGGAGCCCAGCAGGCCGAGACTGCGGTGGCCGGAAGCAGCCATTGCACTCCAGTCTGGGCGACAGAGTGAGACTCCAACTCAAAAAAAAAATTGTCAAGTATATATATTTTTATTTCAGCCATTCTAGTGGGCAGATATGCAGTACAATCTCATCATGGTTTCAATTTGCATTTTCTTGATGATTAATGATGCTAAGCACCTTTCCTATGTGTATTGCTATTTGGATTACATAACTAACCTGTCTGTTCAAGTCTTTTGCCCAGTTTTAAGTTGGTTTGTCTATATTTTTCTTACTGATTTGTGTAATGCCTTTGTCAAATAAACGTACAACTGTCTTCTCCCAGACTGTGGCTTCCGTTTTCATTCTCTCAGTGGTGTCTTTTAAAAGAAAATGTGTTTGTATAAATGTATCGGGTACAAGTACAGGGTTGTTGCACGAATAGGGTGAAATCAGGGCTTTTAGGGTGTCCATCGCTCAATGCACACGGTACCCACCAAGTAATGACTCATCACCACCCTCCAACCCTATCACCCTTCACAGTCTCAGAGTCTCCACTGCCTGTCATTCCACACTCCACATCCCATGCATACATTGTTTATAAACATAGTGTCTTTTGATGAACAGAAATTCTTAATTCCAGTGAAACTCATTAGATTTCTCTTTTATGGTTAACAGTTACAGTGCCTTGCTGAAGAAATGTATGTACATCCCAAGGTTATGAAGATATTCTCCTATGCTTTCTTCTAGAAGCACTGTTTTACTTTCTGCTTTTAGGTCTATGTTACATCTCAGTGTTGGCATATGGTGTGTCACAGGGGTCAGGGTAATATTTTTCCCACTAGATATCCAATGGACCTAGCACTATTTATTTTTAAAAAACATCCTTTCCTCACCTGAATGATGGTGCATATTCTGTACTACAGTATATTGAATTCTATGTGCAGGCTGTTCTGGATTTTCATTCAATTGACCTATTGGTCTCTCATTGCATCAATAACACCTGCTTAATTAATTATAACAGCTTTATAGGAAGGCTTGCTCTCTAGCAGGGTAAATCTTCCAATCTTATCCCCTTTAGAAAAGCCTTGGCTATTCTAAGTCCTTTATGTTTCCATATAAATATTTTAATCTGTTTGTCAGTTTTCAAAAAGTTGATGGGATTTTGACAGACAACACTGAACCGATAGATCAATTTGAGGAAAAATGAACATGACAGTTTTAATTCCTCTTCAAATTTACTCAGTAATGTTTTAAATTTTTGAACATCGTTAGTAATATTTACTCCTAAATACTTGATTTCTTATATGTTTTAACTTTTTAAACATGGGGTCTCCAGGCTGGAGTGTCGTGGCTATTCACAGGTGGATCCTGCCTTGCTGCAGCCTTCACTTTCTGGGTCAAGCAATCCTCCCGCCACAGCCTCCTGAGTAGCTAGGACCACCAGCACATGCCATTCACCTGGCTTTGGTGTTTTTGATGCTATGACAAATGGTATTTTCTTTTTTTTCCACTTTTTTTTTGCTAGTATACCAAAATGCTTTTATTTTATTGACTTTGTAACCAGTGACCTTGCTGATTCACTAATTATGTCTAGTAGTTTGTACATAAACCCAATCAAGTCATCTGAAGATAACAGTTTTATCACTCCTTTTTCCATCTTATGCCTTTTTTCTTACTTTGTTGCATTGGCTGTATGTATTCCTTTGCCTTGTCTGTTTTTGTTCAACATTGGTTTTGTAATTCTTTCTCATTGTTGCTGCAGTATGTTCCTTGTCTTTACTAGTTAATATACCACTATATAAAACCATCACAATTAATTGATTTCTCTATAACCTTTTCACTCAGTCCAAACTATATAAATAGTAAAGTGCACTAACACCCAAGACAAAGAGAACACACAGACTGGCATTCTATGGGGAACTCATAAAAGAAATTTCCCATATACTTTTAAGATTTCCACCTAGAATTTTAAATAAAACATACAAATGAGAAATGTGTTGATATGGAACCACGCAAATAAGTTATTGAAAAGTGTATTTTGTCTAGCCTTTAACTAATAATAAAGAGCTGGGAATCTAATCTCAAAGTCCAAGTGTATGTGTAAAAGAAGAAAACACAACAAGACAACTACAGTGAATAAAATAAACAGAAGTGCCGGGCATGGTGGCTCAAGCCTGTAATCCCAGCACTTTGGGAGGTCGAGGTGAGATTGCCTGAGCTCAGGAGTTCGAGACCAGCCTGGGCAATTTGGTGAGACCTCATCTCTACAATAAATAAAAAATAAGCCTGGCATGGTAGCATGCACCTGTAGTTGCAGCTACTTAGAAGTCTGAGGAGGAAGGATCGCCTGAACGCAGCAGGTCAAGGCTGCATGTGACTGTGCCATGGCACTCCAGTCTGGATGACAGAGTGAGATTCCAACTCAAAAAATAAATAAACAAATAAACTAGAGCAATATTGTTCCTCCACACACTTTTCTGGCTTTTCCAGGGATATCAACACAGGACGGGATGAGTACAGGAGAGCTGAGGAAGAGGTAAGGAGGGAGCTGACAGCATGGAAGCCCGCTGGGAGATGGCCAGCAGGTCGACTCTACAATGAACACACGTCTTTTATAAGCAGTTAAAAAAATGGTTCAGATAAAACAACTTCCATTGACTTTCTATCAGCAGAATTTTTAAAAGAGAGGAGTTCTGACTGGAGACTTCTCTAAATGTATTAATCTCTAAATCTAACTAGCAACTTTTTTTTTTAAGTTGGAGCCTCGCTCTGTTGCCCAGGTTGGAGTGTAATGCATGCTCACGGCTACCACAGAGTCCACCTCCTGGACTTCCACCTCAGTCTTCCAGTAGTTGGGTCTATAGGCCTGAGCCACCATGCTAGGCTAATTTTTTGATTTATTATAGAGATGAGGTCTCATCAAGTTGCCCAGGCTGGTCTCTAAACCCTGGGCTCAGGGAATCCTCTCGCCTCTGCCTCCCAAAGTGCTGGGATTACAGACATGAGCCACTGCATCCAGTCAAGTAACTTTCTTCCTTTTCTGGGGGACCCTCCATACATAGCAATTGAACTGAATTAATATTTATTTAATAAGAGTCATGCTTAAGACAGTTTTGGCCAGGTATGGTGGCTCACACCTGTAATCCTACAATTTTGGGAAGCCAGGGTAGGAGGATCACTTGAAGGTAGGCGCTCAAGACCAGCCTGGGTAACATAGCAAAAACTCATCTCTTTTTTTTGAGTTGGAGTGTCACTCCGTCGCCCAGGCTGGAGTGCAGTGGCACACTCACGGCCACCCCAATGTCGACTTGCTAGTCTCCAGCGATCCTTCCGCCTCAGTCTTCCAAGTAGCCGGAAATACAGGGGCACGCTACCATGCCTGGCTAACTTTCTGTTTATTGTAGAGACGATGTCTTGCCAAGTTGCCCGGGCGGGTCTCGAACCCGCGGGCTCAGGCAATCCACTCGCCTTGGCCTCCCAAAGTGCTGGAATTAGACTGAGTCACTGAGACCAGTCAAAATCTCATCTCTTTAAAAAAAAAAAAAAAATCTGATGAAGGCTTTGCTTGACTTTCAAGAAACCTAAATGAAATTATGAGTGGTCTTCAATATCAAAAGAGTTTAAGAACCAAAAGTCAATACACACACTGCCTTTTTGACAATAAATATCACTGAGTCCCCACCAAAGAAATGAGTAGCTGTAGAGGGCACCAAGGGGTGTAAAACACTCTGTTATAGCCGGGCTCGGTGGCTCAGCCTATAATCCCGTGCCTTTGGGAAGCTGAGGTGAGAGGACTGCCTGAGCCCGCGGGTTCGAGACCCACCTGGGCAACTTGGCGGGACCTCATCTCTACATTAAATTCAAAAACTAGCCGGGCGTGAGAGCGCGCGCCTGTAGTTCCAGCCACTTGGAAGGCTGAGCAGAAGGTTCGCCGGAGACCAGCAGGTCGAGGCTGCGGTCACTGCACTCCAGTCTGGGCGACAGAGTGAGACCCCAACTCAAAAGAAAAGAAAAGAAAAGAAATCTCCCGAAAGCAGCGTCTTAGGAGCAGCTGGCGATCCGCATCGGACGGCGTCCGGCCGCCGGTCGCGCGGGAGAACGCACGGAAGAACAGCGGTCGGCCGCTCTGCATGACCTGCGTCGCCGGCCACCGGTGAGCAGACAAGGCCAAGCCGCTCCGAGGGGCA